TTACTATTCTTTAACTGAATTACTCCATATTAAGTAATGGTAAAATTATTTTATATGAAAGAATTTAGAAATGCATTGAACTGAATTGATGTCATCTGACTGGTAGTAAGTTTTATTTCAGGTTTTAAATATATGATGTGTTTTTAGTTTTCTTGTATAGTGAATTTTGGGAAACCATTGAATAAGAAATGTCAAGAGGATAATACAATTGTATCATTGGAAAATTTAACTCCTTTTAATCTGGATACTGTGGAATTATTGAACTTACTAGAGGTTATTGTTGTAATCTTTAAAACCTATCAAGTATTTAACTGGGTGTATTTTAAAAGGGAAGAATGATTACTGTATGGGAAATAGTACAAAGAAAACACCTTGCAAAATCTCATTATTTATGAACTTGCCAGGTTCCTTTGGGACCATCTACTTGGGCAATGTTATAAAATCTTATTGGCCCTGTGAAAGAACTTGCTAACTTTTGTGAAATTCTAAAATAATGAATTAGTTTAATGAGAAAGTGGGATCTCCTCTTCTATTACAAACACTCCTTGCATAAGGAGGGAGAGCTTTACAAGTTTGTTTATAGTATAGAAGTGATTTATGTGATTTATGATTATGAAAAATTTGAAATCATACCTGGAATATTATATATTTAAGTTATATCTTGAACCCAGTTAGTCTTAGACTCTAGTCTGAAAGATTTATTTTTGCTTTTAGAGATTAGTAAATAATATCTTAAGAGATAGACATCAGTTAGTCTGGAAATATACAATAATTAGCCAGTATTTTTCTGGGTTTTATTGAACAACCAATCCTATATTCACTATCTGTGTGGAATTTCAGGATGTGATTATTTTTTTAATTTCTAATTATTGATTTTTATTATTTTAAGAAGTAAAGGATGTTGTGGTTTGTTTGGTTTTTTTTTAAGGCCTGGTAAACTTTTTATTAAGTGCCATTGCAACAACCCGAAAGAAATAGCTATCTGGTCCTAAAGCTATGATTAGTGCAGCTATCTATTTGAGGTAAAAATCTCTTGGGACTGTAATTTGATATTCCGAGTTCTGAATTCAGGCATAAATGTCTGAATGATCATTAAGTCAAAAGTCCACCATTCAAGGGAAATGCCACAAGCTGCTCAAAGGGAATGTGATCCAAGAAATACTACAGGTGAAAAGGGGATGACCATCCCCTTGACTCAGTTTCCCCACTGTGTTATTTCCTTTTTTGAATAGGATTGTTTTCCACATGCTTAATCCTGAGCCTGGCTTTGATATCCTGTAAATAAGGTGGAACTTTGCTATATAATTAGCTATTCTAAATAGTAACTACTGCTCTTACCTGAAATGAAGAACTAAAGATATACATACACACACACACACACACACACACACACACACACACACACATATATATTATATATGCACATATACGTATATATACACACACATATACATATACATATATATATACACACACACACATATATACACACACATTTTTTTAGTTATATATATATATACACACACACACATACACACACACACACACATACATATATTCCACAACTGGGATGGTTGGGGTGTATGTGTGTGTCTTCTGTAAGAGAAATGAATATATAGATATTTTTATATATACATACAGATATATGTACTAGATGATTGGGGGGGGGGGGCTAGGCAATGGGGTTAAGTGACTTGCCCAGGGTCACACAGCTAGTGAGTGTTATATGTCTGAGGCCAGATTTGAACTCGGGTCCTCCTGACTCCAGGGCCCATGCTTTATGCACTGCACCACCTAGCTGCCCCTTAGAGATATATATGTGTGTGTGTGTGTACATATATATACTTATGTATTTTATAATTAAACTTTTTGAAAAAAAAAGTTATATTCAGGAAAGATAATATTGGGTAGTAGATAAAACTTGTCCCAGACTCAAGGAGGCCTGTCTTCTACTCCCACCTTTGACACATACTGACTTAGTGACCCTGGACATGTCACTTACCTCTCAGTGTCTCAGGCAACTCTATACTTGCGAAACTGCAGTGGCAGGGTTTTTCACTTAGTAAAATTAGTTTTTTCACTTCACCAATGAAATTGTATCCAGACCATTAAAAAAAATTTCACTTCACCAATGAAATTGAATCCAGACCATTAAAAAAAAAAATTCCAGAAGCTCCAACAAAATTAAAATGTGGGAATTAGTGATATATTTCCAAACCTAATAATCAGTGAACATTACGAAGCACCTACAATGTGGAAGCCACTGTGCTACGTCATGGGAATACAAAGACAAAAAGGAGAGCTAGTTTCAACATCATCCATATTTGCAGCTAAGAAAATACAGAATATATTGTAAAATATATACAAAATACATAGTGATATGGAAACAGCCATCACCAACTGCGTGTATTAGGACAAGCCTCTCAAAGGAGGTGGCAATTGAATTTAACCTTGCCTAGAGTTAGGACTTTCAAAGTGAGGCAGAAGAGCATTACAAGCATGGGAGACAGTTAATGCAAAGACAAAAAGTGGGGGTGAAGTGGGTTCAGTAACATGTTAAGGAGACAATAAGGATATTTTGGGGTCAGACTTCATTAAATGAACAAATGAAAAAGTACACCTTAAGCATTCACTTTACAAAATGCTAGGAATACGAAGTGTCCCAAAAAATACTAGTACAGTTTTAAGTTTTAAAAACTTAAGAAATGTAAGTGCTACACACAAAAAATTTGAAAGGTTGATTATTTACATGTTCAAAATATTGATGTTTCTATAATTCAACATAATCACTATCTTGTTCTATATGTCTCTAGTCAATTTTTGAATCCTAGCCTTAAGATCATCCAGAGACTGAGATTTTGTGGTAACACCATAGAAAAAGTAAAATGGAAATAGATCAGGTGACTAAGGTCATTAAAAAAGACCTCTGTCAATTAACCTGAGAGTCTTTAAGAAATCACACAATGGATAATGACAAGGTGCCATATCTTGTTAAAATTTATTATAGAAAATTCACAAAAGTGCAAAGGAAATTAAACTTAAATTTTTTTTGGTAGTTTGTAGCATTTATACTGGGCAAGTCGGTGATGTAGTAGATATAGTGCTGGTCCTGGAGTCAGACCTGGATTCAAATTTGACCTCAGACATTTATTAGCTGGTGACCCTGGGCAAATCACTTAACCCTGTTTGCCTCAGTTTTCTTATATGTAAAGTGAGCTTGAGAAGAAAACGGCAAACTGTTTCAGTGTCTTTGCCAAGCGAACTCCAAAAGGTGTCAGGAAGAGTCACACTGAAACAACTAAACTTACTGAAACCTAAAACCACTAAAACTTTAGGGATACTCTGTATACAAATACAAAAAAGTAACAATTGTCCCTGCCCTCAAGCAGCTTACATTGTAAGGGAGTAAACAAGACATATTGGGAGGGATGAGATGTGAGGAAATTTCAGGTGCGGTGAACGGGGCTCTGGGGGAGGAAGGAATCAGTTGGCACGCCTCACCCAATCCTGGAACAAAGATGAACTTTAAATGCCAGAGCTATTAGAAAAGTCTGGAGTCTTCCTCCTGTAAGGTGACGGCACCTGAACTGAGCGCATTCCAGGTAACGCGGTTGGCTTGTGAAAAAAGCCTATGTAAGCAATGACTGAATGAGTGCCTGTTGGGGAAATTCTAAGGAGTTTCCTTTAGGCTCCACACACCTGTAGGTCTCACGAGAATGTAAAAACAGAAATTTTGGTACTTCCGTGGGTCACTACTAGACTGGATCTAAGATAAACTTACTAACTCCAATCTAGGCTGCCTTTTCCCATGGCGTTATTTGAAGGCTCTGTTGTTTTTAATGTAATGGTCAATTATTCTCCCAAGAAATTCACTAAATGAGGGCTTCCAAACTAAGATACCTGGACACTGTAATGGAAAGAGTGCTGGTCTTGGGTTCAAAGCTCAATCCTTATGTTACGTGTGTCATCTTGGGCAAGTTACTTAACCTTACCAGGGCCTCAGTTTTCTCACGTGTAAAACGGAGGGGTTGTAAACTAGATGATGTCCAAGGGTTTCCTTCCAGCTTTGACCAGGCCCCGGGCTTACGCTATGCCACCTAGCTGCCTCTAGTGGCTCAAATATAAAGTCCACCCCTACCTTTCCAGTCTTAGACCTGTTAGCCTTCCTCCCCCACGTACTCTAATCCAATGACACTGGCCTGCATGCTGCTCTTCCAACCATACGCTACATCTACGCAATGCACGTTGGCACTAGCAGCCGCTATGCCTGACATGCTGTCCTTCCTCGTCCCTGCTTCCCTGGCTTCCAGGCCCAGCTAAAGCCCCACGTGTCAAAGGATCTTTCTCGACCCTCCCCCCCAACCTAGTGCCCGCCTACGCACGATCTCCAATTTATCCTGAAATGTATATAGACTGTACGTAGCTGTCTGCGTGATGCCTTTGCCATTAGACCATGCGATCCTGGAGACCAGGGTCTTTTACCTTTCTTTGTGTCCTCAGCGATTAGCATGGTGCCTGGCACCTAATAAGCGCTTAATACACACTGACCGACTGACTGACTAAGCTTCAGGTTTGTCCTGATGGTTTACTCCTTCCCAAAACCAAGTTTCGGTTCCTCGCTTCCGGCCTGGGCAGGCGCACGCGCGTCCCCTACGCAGAGCGTGTGACGCATCCAATGTCACGCGTCGACGCGCGGGACATCACGGGTCGACGTCACCCATCGGCCCGAGGGACGTCACGGGGCGGGACGGCGCGGAGGTTGCGCTCCTTCCGGGCGTCAGGTGGTGGGCGTGGCTCGCGTCTCTCCCAGGCTCCCTGGCGGCAGTTGGCACTTGGCACTGTGGGGCGGAGGGTGGGGAGTGCGCGGAGTGCGTGACCCGCTGCCGGTCCGGAGCTTGCGGAGTCCGGTCCCGGGCGCGCTGTGGGTTGCGGGGTCTCGCTGCAGGGCAGGCGGCGAGGCTGACGCCGGGCCCGGTGGTGGAGTCCCAGTGCCGCGGCCTGGCCCTGCCCGCCTCGGCCCGGAGATCGTGCCCAGCTCGGACCTCCGTTCTTGAATTAAAATTTCCAAATTCCCTCTGTACAGTTACTTGAAGGAATAAAGACGGTATTCCGGAATGGGACGGCTGAGGTGGGGGGGCGTTGGGGAAGGGGGGAAAGATTAATGGTGGATGAAAGTAATTACGGAGAATCGGCTCCTTTTAAAGTTTTCCGTGAACAGTGGGCAAGCTTCGTAAAGAGAGGAGTAAAGTCGACTCGGAATCTGAGGCCACAGTGACGTAAGAGGTGGCCGGTTGTACATCTTTAAAGCCTCAGGTATCCTTGGGCTTCTAACCCCAACAATCTCTCGGTTACTCAGGACGCCACGTTTCCCTCTTAAATTGTTAGCTTTGGCTCTGAATCCCGTGCACTGAGCTATTTTATGTTTTTACTGGAGATTTTGGGGTTCAAGACTTAAAAAAGGAAGAAGTAGAGAAAACGTAAAAATTAGGTAGTAAACATAACATGCTTCTAGTCCTACTTCATTTTTTTTTCATAACCAAGACTAGACAGTTTTATTCATTATATATGTAAATCGTTTATTGTCTATAAAATCCCATATAAATATCAGCTCTTGTTATTGTCATCCCATTTAGTTTATGGGGAAACTAAACACACAAATTATCACTAATTCTCTAGGCCTCAGGTCTATCATTGTGAGAGACTTAATGTAGAATCTAGATCAGGGGTTCATAATTTTTTTTGTGTGTGTGTTTTATATATCTCCTTTGGAAGTCTAAAGCCTATAGACCCCTTCTTAGAAAAAAATGTAAACGCATAAAATACATAAGATTACAAAGGAAACTAATTATATTATCAATATATATATATTTTTAAAAACATCATAGATCCTAACTTAAGAACTGCTGATCAAGATAATTTTTAAAGTCACATTGCGCCTAGTCCTACTTTCGAGGCATTAAGAGCAAGGAGCAATGGGGGACCAAAATCAATCACCATCTTTGTACCCTTTACCCACAGTTCTCTGCTAGCCAGAGTTCAGAATAAATGAAATAGAACAATTCCTATCAACTAATGGTAAAACTGCCTTCAAAGCATAACGAATTAGTTTGATCTTTCAGTTATTCTTAGAATATAGAAAGCTAATAATTATTTACTTTGACATTTATATTTTCCCACCAATATAAATTTTCATTCTAGTAACCAATCAATCACAGCATCAACACACTAAAAGGATCTTGACAGAAAGGTTGGCTTTTGTCAAAGGAAGGTAAAACTATGTGGAAAAAAAAATAACTTTACAGAGAGAAAATACTTTTTAAAAAGGGGTACCTGAAAAAAAATAAAGTCATCACTAATTTCTGTTAGCCTATTGTTAAATACAATTTTTAGTTACAATTGACTCCAGATTACTAAACAATGCTTGTTGAAGGATGAAAAACTGAAAAAAAGTTGTTTACCTCAAGTATAGATGTTACTTTCTTTTTTTAAATTTATTTTTTTTAGATGTAACTTTCTTAAGAAGTATAAATGATATAAAATCATCCTCAATCTTTTTCTTTTCTTCACTACTCAAGAAATCAAGTTCTGTGAAAATGACTCTTCAGGAAATGGTGCTTCAAGCTGCTGCTCTTTACTCTGACCGAATAGCTGTATGTTTTGATGGATGTAATAATCAATGTCCAGTTTATCATACCTACAGATCTGTGGTTAATTTTGCCTCAGAATTATCTAGCTTTCTACAACTACACTGCAGTTTTGAAGGAATTCATGAAATTGGTCTTTACTGCTATCCAGGAATAAATTTACCATCATGGATTTTGGGGTAATAGTATTTAGAGTTGTTATATTTAGTAATAATCTTTGTTAATTTAAGATTCTTTACTAGGTAGAATATAATGGAAATTGCTGTGTTATTTACTGTTTTTAATTTCAACCCTTTTAGAAAGAAGATTGTATTCTCCAATGAACTATTCTATTCAGTCATTTAAATAGATAATTATTTTGAACTTATTTACTAAAAGCAGAGGCTGTAGTTGACAGAAAAATATTTGGATGTTTTTATTTCACCCATGTAAGAAATAAGCATCTTAATAAGACTGTTTTTGATTTTTTTAAACAAGCCTGTGATTTCATTGGTGTAGGGAATTCTGGATGAGGAAATCTCTCTACCAATTATGATGTGAAACTGTTCTACGATATATAATTTTATTTGTGTGTGGGAGTGTCTTCACTAGGGTCTCTTAGCCATTGTGTTTCGGAGACTAAACTTAAACCCTGGCCTTTCTAAATCTGAGACCAACTCTCTAAACACTGTTCTAGGCTGCTTGTCATGTTGTTACAAAAATGTTACTCTTAGAAAAATGGGGGGGCAGCTAGGTGGCACAGTGGATAGAGCACCGGCCCTGAAGTCAGTAAGACCTGAGTTCAAATCCAGCCTCCGACCAAACACTTGACACTAGCTGTGTGACCTTGGGCAAGTCACTTAACCCCAATTGCCTAAAAATAAAAAAACACATCCACACATACACAAAAAAAAGAAAAATGGGTCAGTAGTACTTAATCAGATTTGTAAATCTGTATCAGTCTTTAAAATTTTAATGAAAAGTTTTGGGTTGTAGTCTGAAAGAAAAATGAAGAATTATTGTAGTGGTAAGCCACTAGAGGGTACTAATTTAAACTACTTTAAACTAACCAGTTTAATGTATTAATACTATACATTGCCTGAATCCAAACATAGTGCAAGGATATGTACACTGAGCTACTGACTAAATGTTTCTGACACTATTAACAGATTACGAATAGTATTATAGCTTGGATAAACCTGTACAGATTTGCCATTAATCACAAATGTTGACTATCAGCAAGGTACTTTATTATACATACTGAACTAAAAGTATCTGCTTAATATGGCATATGTGAGCTTTGTTCCTAATATAGATACTGTCACATATAAACCAATATAATTTTTTAAAATTTAAAGTATTTTTGATAGAATGAATATTTTGTAGTGTGAAGATTCTGATAGTGTAGTGGTAGTTACACAAGAACTTTTGCCATATATTTGATTATCCTATATAGCTAGATATATCCATATCATCTGTTTTATAGATTATCTGTTTGTGGAAAATTAACTGAACTTTGCTTTTCTTTAATCTTTATATTAGAAACACTTTGACTTTATCATGAAGTTGTCAGAATTAAGTTAGAAATACTAAAAATTGCACATTTATTTCATTTTTAGCCATCTTGCTGGATAACAATTTTTTCCCCCTCTGGAACTCAACTCTGGTCACAGTATCAATGTGTATACCTGATTAGTAGGCTTGCTTTATGAAACTGTGAAAAAAGTAACTGGTGTATTGTGCTGTCAAAAAATACTATTAAGTGTTTTTCAGATTCATTAGATGTCTTAGAAGTAATAACTAAAAAAAAAAGTCTTTTAATATCCATAACCAAAGCAGTGAGAAAGTATTGGCAGTTTTTTTCTAAAAATGAGAATGCTTTTAAAGTAATAGAAACCTCATCACAGTGTTAAAAGTTAACTATGTCATCTTAAGAGGTTTTCTTTTGCCTCTGTACTTCTGTCTCAGAATTCTTCAAGTCCCTGCTGCATATTCTCCAGTTGATCCAGATATATCCCCAGAATTATCAGCCTATTTTATGAAAAAATGTAACCTCAAGTATATCCTCGTTGAAAAAAACCAAGTTGATGTAAGTACTTAGTCTATAAAATATTACATTTGTCTTGCATTTGAATTTTTTCGCCAGACACCTGATTTTATTAATATACTATGTATACTGATATAACACTGTTGAATAAAACTGTGTTCTAGCTTTCTGATGTATTGGGTACTATATAATATAAATTACTTTATTTCCCTCAAGTGTTACTAGCTACCCTAGAAATATTCTCTGGGCAGTTGGGGGTATGAGACTAGGACTCAGGAGAGATACTAGACCAAGGTATAGAGACTTGGGAATCATCTTGGAGGTTGATGAGGTCACCAAGTGAGAAAGTATAAAGAGAATAGAAGAGAGACCAAGGCATAGCTTGGGGGTATACCGAAGTTAGAAGGTGTAATAGGAATGATGAATCAGCAAAGGAGATGTTAGGAAGAGAGCCAAGGGAAAACAGTCATGAAATCTTAGAGGGGTGACCAACAGTGTCAAATGCTTCAGAGAAGTGTAGAAGGAAGAGGACAGAAAAAAGACTTTGATTTGGCAATTAAGATCATTGGTAACTAGGAAAGCAGTTTGAGGTGAGTGATGGGATCAAAACCAGATTAACAACTTGAAAAAAATTTCTTAGGTTGTGTAACAAAGTGAAAAGTTGAAACAATAGATATTCTAGTGCAAGGGTGCCACCGTATAGTAAGCCAGTCCTTGGGAGTCTGCTCTTTCTCCAGTCCCTCTACTGCCTTTCTCTTTCCTAATACAGATTAGATTTGCTCTTCATGTGTTTTTCCTTTCTTCTTTGAACTCATCATTTTTTTTGTTTGCTTTTTTTAAAAAAACAGTTTTTGGGGGGCAACTGGGGTTAAGTGGCTTGCCCAGGGTCACACAGCTAGTAAGTGTCAAGTGTTTGGTATGAGGCTGGGTTTGAACTCAGGACCTCCTGACTTCAGGGCAGGTGCCCTATCCACTGCGCCACCTAGCTGTCCCATCATTTTTTTTTAAAAAGGTGCAAAAAAACCAACTTGATTCACATAGTAGCAGAGGGGATTAAAGAAAAGGTGGCAATAAAGATATTTCATGGGTTCCTTGCATTTCAGGGATAACCTTTATTATTGGTTTTGAATGTTTTTGTAGTTGCTTTGAAATCACCTTATCTACATTATGACAAACTTTTATTATATTTCCATATTCATAGGATCCTATAAGAAATACATAGGAAGTTAGAGGTCATAAAGTTTATCATGATACAGTGGAAACAACACTGGATTTGATATTGACCTATATTCATTTCTGGGTTCTGACACTATTTGTGTGACTTTGGGCAAGTCACTTAACTTCACTTGTCCTCGGTTTCCTCATCTTTAAGATAGGTTGGACCAAATGACCCAAAGTCCTTTTCATATCTAAATTTATGATCCTGTGATTTTATGGAGAAAGATATTAAGGCTAGAGTGATTTCAGTCTTTTAGCAGGTGGCAGTATTTGGATTAGAATCCTGTCTCCTAGACCAGTGGTTTTTTACTATACTATACTTCCCCTCATTCATTTGTTATGTTTGTAATCCTTTGGTGTTAGTTACAAAGTTAGTAACAAAGAGTTACTTTGCAGTGAGTGCTGCTTTGTATAATACCTATATTTGTAACATAATATATAATACTTATAATGGTATTTCTGAAACCATACAGTGTTAGAGAGAGCACTTGTTTTGTTTTTTGACTTGTAATGCTTTTTTTGCCATCTAATGCAGAAATTCAAAGCTTCCCATGAAACTTGGTTAAGTAATGATACCATTACAGTAGACCATACTGGTTTAACACTTTTTGAACTTCACTGGAATGATACTGATGTCAACTTGATTCTACCTGATAAGAAAGAGAACAATGGAAAGGAAAAAATGAATAATTGCATCAGTTCTTTGAACAGCAATGAAGAAAAAGCAAAAAAATGCCTGGATGTCAGATTTCAGCATTGTTTAGCTTATGTTCTACATACCTCAGGAACTACAGGAATCCCTAAGATTGTCAGAGTGCCTCATACATGTATAGTACCAAATATTCAACATCTTCGGTGAGTTTTCAGAAATTTCTTTCTTTTGAAGTATACTTTAAGGAAAAATGAGTTCTTGAAATTTAAAAAACAAAAACAACAGGTTGCTGGATTGGTAGACTTAGATAAAGGGGTTATTTTTGTCCCGTTATTTTGTCTCCTACTAGGAATATGTGGATATTCACTGTCATCCTGGGCAAACCACTTAACCTTTCTGAATCTATTTCCTCATAAAAAGAGAATAAAAACACTTGTATTACTTAGTCACAGAGTCATTATAAGGAAAGTATTTTGAATATTTCAAAGAGCTATGTAAATGTGGAATGATGTTTATATTAGTAAGGGAAAACCCAGTCATCTTAAACTAAGTTAATTCTGGCTCTTAAGTAGTCTTTCATGTATTTAATTTAGAAAAGAAAGTGATGTTGGTGATAGTTTTTCTTTGTTCTGACTTTCAGTCAAGTAATCTGGTATAAGCAGGGAGAGTGAGATTTATTAGAATCACAAATTTTGAGACGTGGAAGAAGTTTTTGAGCACATGTGGTATATCCCCTCATTTTACAAATGAAGAAAGTGAAGTCAGGGCAGTCTACAATGATAATAATGGAACTTTGGAAGGAGATTATGGAAGCATAAATAGCCTATACACATATTTAGTGCTTTGTCTTGTTATTGAGACTGCAGGTGAGAGAAAATTAGGTTTGTGTTCTTTCTTGTTGCCAGTTGCTCTTGTAGCAAGTGTTTTCTGATCAGGGTAATCTTTTTATGCCAGCTATGGCATTTTCTTGAGTTCAGATCTGGCCTCCAACACGTATGGACTTTGTGACCCTCGGCAAGTCACTTCACCCTGTTTGCCTCAGTATCCTCATCAGTAAAAATGAGCTGGAGAAGAAAATGGTAAATTACTCCAGTATCTTTGCCAAGAAAATCCCAAATGGGGTCCCAAAGAGTCGAGCATGACTGAACAACAACAACAACAACAGACAAGTATTCTCTATTTAGGGTTAATTTAGATGAACAAACTGTTCGTTAAAGGCACTGTATTCCTGCATTCCTAGAAATCACATCTTAAGTCAGGCTTACATAAGGAAGTATTGTGAAGATGCTAAACTGTTTTCTTAGAACAATGTCAAGACCAATTAAGGTGCTAAGAATTGAAATTTAGATCATTACTAGGTAGCACTAGATGAACAGAGGATGATTTCAGAATGGCAAAAAGTGGGGACTTTCTAGTACACATTTTAATTGTGTAAGCCTGTAAGAAGGGATTTTTAGAATTATCAGTTCCATTTAGTTAATTTAAAGGAAAGTGATCTTATTACTTCATAAATCTAAGTTAGCTGAAATATTACAGCTTTGTTGTGATAAATGTTTTCTCCTAACTATATGATATTTTTTCTTAGGACACTCTTTGAGATCACACAGGAAGATATTCTTTTCATGGCTTCCCCTTTGACATTTGATCCATCCGTTGTGGAGATATTTCTTGCTTTGACAAGTGGAGCATCTCTGCTTATAGTTCCCAATGCTATTAAAATGCTGCCATCGAAATTAACTACTGTTCTGTTTCACCATCACCATGTAACAGTTCTCCAGGTAGAGGGTTTTTTTTTTTGTTTTTTTTGGCAATATATGTATATTGTTTAGATCAGATAGGATGTTTCAGGGTTTCTGATATTTTTAAAACTGAAAAATCATGATCCAGAACAATCACATTTGTCTGTCACTCCTGAAGGTAATCCCCACAAATTATGTTTCATCTCTATGCTAATGACTCCTCGATCTTTTTATTTACCCTGAACATCTCTCTTTAATTCCGTTTCCATAACACTATCCAACTGCTGAATATCTCTACATATATGTCCTTTCAGTGTTTGAAACTCATGCCCAAAACACCGTTAATTTCCTCCCAAACCCACCAGTTTTACAGATTTCCTAGATCTCTTGAGCAGTGCAACATTGTTGTAGTCATCTAGGTTCATAACTTAGAATCATCGACTTTTCACTTTTTCTCCTTTACCAGCCACATTGAATCAGATGTCGTCTTATTGGTTCTATCTCTACAACATCTTGTAGAATCTATACCTTTCTCACCAGCCACTACTTTGATTCAGCCACTCTCTATCTCTTGACTAGCCTATGGTAACAGTCTCGTAATTGTCTCTGTGCTTCTAGCCTCTCCAGTTGCTAAATTAATATTCCTAAGACATCACTTCTCTTGCCAGTGATTTAAATGTTAGCTGTCTTGCCTTTCCTCTTCTCAGTGGCTCCATATTATCTTTAGATAAAATACAAATGCCTTAGCTCTGCACTTAGATCCGGCTACACTCCAGCTTTCTTTTCCAGACATTTCATTCATGCACATTACATTCCACCCAAACCTCCCTTCTAGCTGTTGCCCGAACTGGACATTCTATTTCCTGTCTTTGCCTAGTTTGGATAATTTGGATGCACTCCCTCCTCACCTCTACCTCTTCAAATTCCTTAGCTTTTTTTTAAGTCTCAGTTAATGTGCTACCTCTTTAAGCAAATTTCCTCATTTCCCAGTTGTTAGTGCACTCTTTCCTTAAATTACCTTGTATTTATTACCTGTATACATGTTGTATTCCTCTCCCTCCTTTCCCTAAATGCAAGTTTTACTGGAAGGAAGGAACTGTTTTGTTCTTATATCCCTAATATCTGATAGTGCATTGCATATAGTAGGTGTTTAGTACATGTTCGTTGAATTGAATATCTTTATGAATATTTCTTAATCTGCATAATATTTAAAGCCATTAAAATCATACTCCATTGTTTGTTGGCCAGTTCTAAGAGACTGGGCTGACAGAATTCAGGCTCTGCCTAGTCCTGCCAAGTTAGAAAGGCATTGAATATGAATATGAGCCTAGTGATAAGGTCTCTGTTTGCAGTCTCAGTGAGCCACTCAGTAAGCGTTAAGTGCCTGCTGTGTACCAGGCAATGTGGTAAGCACTAGGGATGCAAAGAAAGGCAAAAAAAACAGTCTCTGCTATTGAGAAGCTTACAGTCTGATAGGTGGGGGGGACAAAATGCAAACCACTATGTACAAACAAGCTGTATACAGTAAAAGTAGGAAATAATTAACAGGGGAAGGCATATGAATTAAGAGAGGTTAGGAAAGGCTTCCTGTAGAAGGTGCGATTTTAGGTGGGACTTATTTTAGGTATGGGGGACAGCCAGAGAATGCTTGGAGCTGAGAGACAGAGTGTCTTATTTGGGAACAGCAAGATGGCCGGTGTCACTGGATAGTAGATTTAATGTGTATGGGGGGTATAAGATGTAAGAAGACTGAAGTGGGAGAAAGATAAGTTATGAAGGACTTGAAATGACAAAACATTTTATATTTGATCCTGGAGGCAATAGGGAGCCATAGGAGTGGAGTGTATTTGCGGCGGTTGGGGGGTGCAAGGGTGAGGAGTGACATAGTTGGACCTACACTTTAGCAAAATCACTTTAGTGGCTGAATGGAGGATGGATTGGATGGATTGGGGAGAGACTTGAGGCACGAAGACCCACCAGCAGGCTATAGTAGTAGTCCAGGCATGAGGTGATAAGGATTTGCACCAGTGTGGTGGCAGTGTCAGAGGAGAAAAGGGGACATATTTGAGAAATGTTGCAAAGGTGAAATCAACAGGCCTTGGAAATAGCTTGAATATGGTGGGTGAGAGATAGGGAGGAGTCCAGGAAGATATTTTGAATCTGAAGGACTCGGAAGATTGTGGTGCCTTCTAGAGACTATTCTATATTCTAGATAAATTTGGAGAAGGTCATTACCATAACTTTGGCTACCAGGTAATAAAAAACTCACAAGATGATCATCTACTCAAGCAAAGTGGGTTTGCAGTCTCTCAGTGGAAGGAGCACCACACTGATGAAATCATAGGTGCTTGAAGTATTGTCTGGGTAATGAGAATGTATTGCAGAAACTTAGTTGCCTTGAAAAATGAAGCATTTTAGGGGTAGCTAGGTGGCGCAGTGGATAGAACACTGGCACTGAAGTCAGGAGGACCTGAATTCAAATCCAGCCTCAGACCAAACACTTGACACTTACTAGCTGTGTGACACTGGGCAAGTCACTTAACCTCAACTGTCTAAAAAAAAGAAAAAGAAAAAAAAATGAAGCATTTTTAATTAAATTAAAAGCTTGAGATTGATAACTAACCAGCCCTCTGGTAGAGTGGGAGTGTTTTTAGTGAGCTTCATACAATAAATTTTAGAAAGCGACCTCCTGCTACTTCCTGTTTTTTGCCAAACCTGTCTTTTTTGGGCTTAGAAGGAGGTGGCAGGAATGTGTATTGTTGATGCATGTTGTCAGTCTTCTCTTGCAGAAGAATGTAAATGTCTTTTTCTTGCACTTACAGTGTTTGGGATGAGACTGCTATTGTCTGTCACATTAAGGATTTTGGTTTGCCATTTTCTTAACAATTTTTGAAGCATTCTGCTACTGATTTATCCCTTCACTTTAAATTAAATTATAATTGATATACTTGTTCTTCACTAATATTCAGTTTGTATCTCTTTTTGTTGAATTGTATTTTGAAATGAAATGTGAAATGTTACCAGAGTGTTTCAAATCTGATTTTCTTTTTTTTTTGGAGGGGGTAGGAGGGATGATGGTAAATATTGAGTTTTTAATTCTCTTTAGTGAGAATAAACTGATGCAGAATAATTATTTTAAAAGAATTTTTGTCATGAGAGACATGAATCTTACTGCCTTAAAAGATATTGGTGGAGTTTTAGAGAATCTCAAGAGTTGCACGGCACTTTAGAGGCCATCTAATCTGACCTCAACGAAAAAATTTCTTTACACCATGTGTATGCATCCTGTATAACAAATCCCACAACCAGCCATCTAGCCTTTTCTTGAAGACCTCTATGAAGGAGAATGTACCACCTCATAAAGCCATCAGACCGTGGTGCTTGGATAGCTGTGATTGTTAGGAATTTTTTCTGATATCAAGTGTAAATCTGCTTTTTCTGTTCATTACTCCGAGTTCCGCCTTAGAGAAAGGGGAAGTAGTTTTTTCCCTTTTCTAGATGACAGCTCTTGAATTATGTGAAAGTAGCTAGCATGCCCCTGGGACTCCTCTCTTCTCTGGACTAAATGTTCTTAGTTTCTTTTATCAATTATCTTATGATCCTCTGATCTTGAGGACCTTTACTATTCTGGTTGTGCTTCAGATAGCTAGCACACTGGATAAGAATCGGGATCCAAAAATATATTGACAGGCTGGAATATTGGGTTGAATCTAATAAGACTGGGTTCAGGAAATCAGCTTCTGAAGATCTTAGAGGCATAGCTAAACAGCAGTTTGTCAGAAAAAGATCTGGAAGTTTTAACATACTTCAAGCTTAACATGAGTCAGTAGTGTCAATCTTGGCTGTATAAAGAGAAGCACAGCATCCAGTACAAAGGAGATGATAGACAGTGCTGTTGCATTCTGTCCTGAGGGCTTTGTTATCATGGTGTAAATAACTAGGTTGACAAAACTGAGAATGTTTGCCCTGAAGAACATAAAATTTGGAGGGAGGGGGTAGATGGGACATGATCGCTGCCACATATTGGAAGGGCTGTCACATGGAAGAGACAATAGACTTGTCTTGACCTAGAGTCAGTGGGCACAAATAGCAATGTGATGTATATAGACTTAAAGGTAAAGGAAAACTTCCTAATAGAACTATCCAGAAGTAGAATGGGTTGTCTCAGGAAATAGAGCGTTGCCCTTCCATGTAGGGCTTCAAGTAGAAGTTGGGTGACTGCTTGTTGAGGGGATTCTTATTCAGGCATAGTTTGGATTAGATGGCCATTAGATGGCCTCTGAGGTCTCTTTCAACACTAAGATTCTGATTTTATCTATACTGTCCAGCTTATGGGACGATAAAATGAGAATACTTGTAAAGCGTTTTACAAACCTTAAAGTGCAATATAAATGCTAGTTCTTATTGTCATTAATGTCCTTTGTGGAGGTGGTATCCTTAACTGAATATACTTCAGAAACAGTCTCAAAAGGGCCCCACAGCTACGAATGATGAATTCCCTACAGATAGTTCCTTTAGTGCCATAAATTTCAGTGGCTTATGAAATATTCTCATAAGTATTAATCTTGGATTATGTTTATGTCATTTAAGTGTTATAAATGATGTTGTATTATTTAGTGCAGAATGATTCCTTTCTTTATATTTTTTAGTTAGGAAGGATGGGAATATATGAATATTTTTAGCTTAGTGCAATTTTTTTTTGTCATTAAATCTCTCCCTCCTTATTTATGGCAGAATATTTTTGAAACAAGTTGATTAAATGTTTTATAGAATTTATTATTAGACGTTAAGCACATAAAGAAGCTAATGCACTTAACCTGTTAATTTTTCCCCAAAATATTGGTTTAATATTTGATACACCTAACTTTAATTTTCCTGCAAGCCTCAAGTATTGAACGCTACATTGTTTTTAGCATGTGATTAAAATATACAAAATGAGTTTGTAAGATTATAATTAACGTGGAAGCTAAATAAGTTATCATAAATATGTGTGCAGGCTACACCAACACTGCTTAGAAGATTTGGATCTCAGCTCATCAGGTCATCTATTTTATCCGCTACAACTTCACTTCGTGTATTAGCTCTTGGTGGCGAGGCATTCCCGTCATTGAGTGTCCTCAGAAGCTGGAGGGAAGAAGAGAATAAAACTAAGATATTTAATATCTATGGTATCACAGAGGTATCCGCCTGGGCAACATGTTACAGGATTCCAGAAGAAGATCTTACCTCTACTGTGGGGTAAGGGCTATGATTTGGGATTGGGGAGGTAGCATTTTCCCAGTAATGACACTTAAGATATTTTGATAGACATGGGTATAATGATGGCAGAAAGGATTTCACCTGGGACAGTGAATTGGGAATCCAGAATCTTTTTTCTTTTAATTGGGCCTTGGCTTATTAGTGTATTTTAACACCCACTTGAGGTATGTGTATATTGATAGATTTCTAAGCCTTCTCTATCCATTGCAAGATAGCTTTCCCACTTTACAGGGTACATTATGAGTTTATATTATGCAACTTTCATGGGGTCTTAACTATAGCAAGGCAGTACTTTCGTTCTTTCGTAATTTATTTCCTATCTCATTCCCTACAAAAGCTTTTCTAAAGCTTCTCTTATCACCTCCTATACCACTTCCTTCCTCCTTGCCCTCCTCACCTGAGGACCTTTGCTCTTACTTTACTAAGAATATCGAGGCTCTTTTCCACATCTCAAAATAATGATAAAAGCTAACATTTACAAAGTGTCTATAATGTGATAGGCACTGTGCTAAGTGCTTTTATCCTCCTTTTATAGACAAGGAAATTGAGGCAAATAGAGATTAAGTGACTTGTTCAGGATCATACAGTTAGTAAGTGTCTAAGACTGGATTTGAACTCTGGTCTTCCTGAGTCCAGGTTCTGTGCTCTCTACACTGTGCCACCTAGCTACTTTGACATCATATTCTCTCTTTCCTTCAGTCAGTGGCAATGAATGACTCTTTTCCTTGCCAACACCAATGCTTTTCCATATGCCCTTGATCCCAAACCCTTCCATTTTCTCCAGCAGATTACAACTTCAATCACCCTTCCCCCTTTTTCTCTCTCCTTTTTCCTTTTTCTCTTTCTCATTTCTCTTCACCTTTCTTCCTACTGCCTTTAAACATCCTGTTCCCATCCTTCAAAAAAAAAAACAAACTCCAAATCCTTATCTAGACGTCACGATCCCACAAACGATTATTCTTTATCACTCTTCGCTTTTTCAGACAAGCTCTAAGAAGAAGTTGTCTCTACTCAACTGCCTGCACTTCCCCTTCTCTCATTTCTTAGTCCTTTGCATTCTGGCTTCTGACCTCATCACTCAACTGAGGCTTCTAATGTTCTCTTAATTTCAAAATCTGGTGGTTTTTTAATCCTCATACTCAGCCTGTCTGTTGCATTAAACATTGTTAACCACCTTATTTGGAAAGTCTTTCCTCTCTGGGGTTATGTGACACTTTTCTCTTTTGGTTCTCTTACCTGCTTAGGTATAGCTTTGTTGGTTCATTGACCAGATCTTGCCATCTGTTAATGTTACTTAAAGCTTTGCCCTAGATGCCCTACTCTTCTGTCTATGCTCACTCCCTCTCAGTGACCTCTTTAACTCCCATGGGTTTAATCATTACTTAGAGATCTCTATATCCAGACCCCAATTTCCCCTCAGTCCTGCATCACCATTTGTCTATCAGACATTTCATACTGAATGTCCCTTCCTTAAACTCAGTATGTCCAGAACTGAACTCATTATCTCTTCCTCCAAAACCCCCTCTCTTAAAATTTACTTATTTCTGTCAAATGTACCACCATCCTTTCAGTCTTCTAGATCTGTAACCTTAGCATATCCTTTCTCTTCTCCTCACTGTCTCACCCCACATATCTAGTCACTTGCCGAGTCTTGCCATTTCTACTTACCCATCTCCTGCATATGACCCCTTCACTACTTAAACAGCTAGCATGTTAGTTGAAGTCTTCATTATCTCTTGCCTAGATCATTGTAATGATCTCCTAATTGATATTTCTTCCTCAAGTTTCCCCACTTCACTTCATTCTCCTGCTGCTGCCAAAGTGACTTTCCTTAAGGGGAGGTCTAACCATGTGACTCCTCTACTCAATAAACTCCTGCAGCTTCCTGTTGCTTTTAGAACAGTGGTTTTTATTTTGAAGTCCACAGGCGCCTAATGGGTTTATGGATAGATTTAAGGTGTCTGAACTTACATGAGAAAAAAAATTACATCTTTATTTTCACTAGCTTCTAAATGGAATTTAGCATTTCCTTTAAATATACATTTTAAAATAAAACATTCTGAGAAGGTGTCCATAGGCTTTATCAGACATCAGAGGTGTCTATGACACATAAAAAGGTTAACCCCAGCTCTCAAATCAAATATAAGCTTCTGTCTTTAGCTTTTAAAACCCTTCATAACCTTGTCCCAACCTATCTTTCCAACCTCGTTGTCCATTGCTCCCTTTCACATGCTGTACAACTCAGTATTTTCTGTTTTTCAAACATAATACTATATTTCCTGTCTCAGTGCCTTTGCACTGGCTGTTCCCCATACCTGGAATGCTTTTTTTCTAGACTCAAAGCTCACATATCACACAAAGCCTTTCCTGTCAACGGTTAGTGCCTTCTTCAAAATAGGTTTTATTTAGTTACTTTGTATTTGTTACCTTTATATTTATTCTGTATGTATCCTATTGTTTTCCCTGTTACAATTTAAACCCCCTAATGAGTAGGGGTTGTTGTATTCATTATATTTATATCCCCAGTGCTCAGCTCATAGTAAGCACTTAAATACTTTTGATTGACTGACTGACTTTCTGTAGTTGGTAGCCTTTGAATTGTACATGAAGTTCTTTATTTGAAATCATGTGATTTAAATAGATTGAAAAATGTTCTATTCAAAGAAAACATTTTAAATCTTTTTGGGGGGTTTTGGGTTATGTTTTTGCAGAGTTGAGTCCCCTGTGCAATTGGGATTTCCACTGCTTGGAACAGTAGTTGAAGTCAGAGATGCAAATGGTTTGACAGTTCGAGAAGGGGAAGGCCAAGTATTTTTAGGTTCTTTTATGTTTTCTGTTAATTGGGAATAATTATTTTAAAGAAACAATGAATAGCAAAATATAATTCCAATATTTTTCTGTAAGTTATAGACATTTTCAGCAAGGATAAATCTAAAATGTCTTATCTTCCTAGGCATAAAACATAAATGAGGTTTCTGGGATTATTTCAGCTAAAAGTGTTAAATTTCTTACAAAATTCTTGAGGGCTTGCATAAAAACAATTCAGAAGATGTCATTTTAGACCTTGATATCCAAATTCATAGCCAAAATCTTTGTAGTCTTCTCCTGTTAAAATCAGTGCTTTAAAGTCAAGGAGATACCATAGAGTTAACTTCAGTGAAATTTTGCTTTTTCCTTTTCCTTAAAAGCAGAGAAGACTTTTACTTTTCTGGATTAGAGTAGATCTTCTCTTTTAATGTGACTATCTAATGCTTCAAAATTAACTTCAGTATATTAGCCATTAAGTAGGCTTGGTAAAATGTTTTATGTACTTAAATATGTGTGTATGTGTATATGTAAACACTTTACCAAGTCTACCTAATTTAACCTTGCTAATGTAAGATAAGATGTTATTTAAAATATTTTTCCAACTGATATATTACACTTGTGGTTCTATTTTGTGAAGGTGGTGAGAAGCGGGTATGTTTTCTTGACGATGAAATAACTCTACCTTTCGGTACAATGAGAGCGACTGGTGATTTTGTTACTGTGAAAGGTGAAGCAGTGTTTTTCTTGGGACGGCAAGACAGTCAAATTAAACGTCATGGCAAACGTATTAACATTGAATGTGTACAGCAGGTAGTATTTTTAACTCTTACGAGTGCAGTTATATATATGCAGGTGATTATCTTTTTCATTTGCAGATACTACCACTATTAATTCAAAATTAATTTTTTTAATCTTTCTGTGTTACATTGAATCGATTATGTTTGATATTTTTTACTATGTCTCTTGTTTCCAACATCCCAGAAATATTATGTATTTTTTAAATCTACCACTGAGAGAATGGAGCATCATCACCTCCAAAAAGTTTTATTTTTAGACGCCTAAGTGAATGTTATTATCATAATCAAATAATTTTTGTTAAGAGCTCAATGTACTAGTTCTACTTCTTGAGACATTTTGATGCTAAGCAATTTAAATACAGTAGCTACTTAGTTATATGAAGTACCGCCCCAGTGCCCCATCATGATGTGGAACAAGGCTCTATGTTAGCAGATTACAAGGCATGGTAGGACCTGCTGGAACGGTTTTAAGAATGGGTCAAGTGTGTCTTTCATTCAAGGACTGCCCTGGCTGAGGTTAGAAGAGCTCATTACAGTTTCCCCATTGTAAAACAGAGACAATAATACTTGCACTACCTACTTCCCATAGTTATGAGGGAAAAAATATTTTGCAAAGTGCTATGTAAGTGCTCTTGTTACTATTAGAAATTTGGTTAGCAGGTATTAACTGTTTTGGATATTGCAACTTTTAAGGCATAGAAGGGTTATGATCTACACTAGTGGAGAGAATACCTGCATTATCATAGTCACTAATGTTTTGAAGTACTGAAGTAGTTTCTACTTAGGTTCTCAAAATGGATTGGTTTATCTTCAGATGTGGGGAATTTATATCCTCAGGAGCTCAAATTTCAAAATATCTTTCCAGTAAATCAAGAGAATCTCTTTTGCTATAGGTTGCTGAACGAATATGTCAAGTAGAATCCTGTGCAGTTATATGGTATCATCAGGAAAAATTAATTCTGTTTGTGGTGACCAAAGATGGTTTAGTGAAGGATGGTATTTTAGGAGAACTTCAAAAACATCTTCCAAGTTATGCAGTCCCAGATGACATTATGGTGATTGACGCTTTACCATTTACATCTCATGGTAAATTGCAGTATTGTGTTGTTGTTGTTGTTGTTGTTGTTTTTATTAAACAAATGTTTCAGTGTGAAATAATGCTGAACACTTTAGAACAAATTTCAAATCTTTTGCTCCTGATATTTAAGAAGCAATACCATTTCTTATAAATGAATTTAGTGATTAATTCTGATTAACTCTGTGCTGTTGTTTGTAGTGTGGTGTTGAAGTCATTAGAATTAAATCATTACTTAAGAAAAACAGTTTATATCATGGAGTCTCTAGGATTTTTAAAATGAAAAAATACATATTTATATTGTGATCACTGAGGATAGTCTTTGAGCTGAAACAAAAAACTTTTTTTTTTTATTAAGGCAAAATCGATGTGTCTGAGTTAACCAAGATTTACTTTAACTACATAAATTTGAAGTCTAGCAGTAACCTTAAAGGAAAAGAGGAACTGTGGGAAAGATTGCAGTGCTTATGGAAGGTAGTATTTTCAAATTGCTTATTATCACATTGGGGTCATTTTACATGTGTCAAGAATGAAATACTTTTTACTAAGTCTGACTTATATTACTAGAGTATTATTGCTGCACAAAAATTTTGTATTATAGCTTTGTCTGTTCAGTTTGACCAGAGCTACTCTGTGCCTGAGGAAAAATTACTTAGTTTGCCATAAATTGAGATGACATATGCCTGTAGTAGTAAGCAGCCAAGAATTGTCATAAGTAAAATGGGTTGAACTTAATTTTTTGTGCTGACTTTTCCAAAGGTAATCTGACTAAAAAAGGATCCATATATTCATATTGGCACAATGAAATATTAAAACATTATATTTTTTCAAGTAGAGGCAGTTGTTAGTGCCTTAATCTGTTTCCTGACATGTGCTATGTCTTTTTTTTTTTTTTTGGTTGAATAAGAGGAGTAGTGAAGGAGGAAGAGGATAATATGGATGGTTGGGGCACTGTTGTGCTGCCCAATCCTCATTTCTTTGTGTTCACTTCTTCCAGACTCAAGTCCATGCTGTTAGTCTTTAAAAACCTCCAAATCACAGAATACTATAAAAATTTAGGCCCTCCATTATGAATTGTGGGTTTTGTACTCTGTCCTACTGAGACATCAGTATTGGTGAGAAAGCATGAAAAAGAAACAGCTAGTGCTCATGAGAAAGTGACCTGTGTTCTCTCCTAGTTACCAATTGAAGATTTCGTATTATAATGAGAAGTTGGTGACTTTGTTGAGTAAACGATGAGTAATAATAATAATAACAAAACTCACATTTATATATAATCACAGGATCCTTAATCTAGAAGGGGACGTTTGAGGTTGTAGGGTTATAGAATTAGAGCTGTAGGAACCTCTAAGGTCTCTGGTCCAGCCTCCTTATTTTGCAGGTGAGGAAACTGAGGCCCCGAAGGTTAAGTGACTTGCCCAGGGTCACACAGGTAGTACAGCTTGGAGCTGAGCCTGTGTCCTCTGATTGCAAATCCAGCACTCTTGCCTTTCGCTGAGATGACATATGCCTGTAGTAGTAAGCAGCCAAGAATTGTCATGAGTAAAATGGGTTGAACTTAATTTTTTGTGCTGACTCTTCCAAAGGTAATATGACTAAAAAGGATCCATATATTCATATTGGCACAATGAAATATTAAAACATTGTATTTTTTCGGGGCAGCTAGGTGGTGCAGTGGATAGAGCACCAGCCCTGGATTCAGAAGGACCTGAGTTCAAATCCAGCCTCAGACACATAACACTTACTAGCTGTGTGACCCTGGGCAAGTCATTTAACCCCACTGCCTAGCCAAAACCAAAAATGAATAGAATGAATTCAGATATTTGTGATAGTCATGTATGAAAGGGGAGATAAATCCAGTAACCTTTGAAGGATCATTTTTACTTTAAATTCATGTGAAATAGATGAAGGCAAGTATTAACAGTTTTATAGAAAGATAACTCATGACTTATGTCTTGTGGATTATGATTAATAAACCAAACATTGACATGTCAATTTTCTCCTTTGAGAAGGGGGACTAGTAAAGAGTTATGAGTTTTGAAGATTCAGAGTATATTAGTAGCAGAGCCAGAATAGAATGAAGGCCTTCTTTAATAGTAACTAGTAGTAGAATTTCTTAAGATTAAAAAAATGTGTGTGTGCATACACACACACACACACATGCATACATACATACATACATATGTACATACATACACATATATATCAGACACATTTTGGTACTTTTACCTATGATATTGCTTAAGGTACACTTAATACTTGCTGGACTCTGGTGTCATAGATTTTTGTTGTTTTTTGAACATCTTTCTTCCATCTTCTCTCCTGTAGTCCTCTCTGAGACTTCTGGAAGATCCTTTGGAAGTTTCTAAAGATTCACTATTCCTTAATAATGGTGGTGATTCCTTAAAGTCCCTTTGGTTCAATAATGAGATTGAGAATCTGGTAGGTAGATCAATACCTGGACTTCTAGAAGTTATTCTCAGTCGCTCCATCTTAGATATATACTATCACATTCTCCAAGCAGTGTTTCCAGATGAAGATATACCATTCAGGAGGAGTAATGGCACAAAAAGAAAATTCAGTGTCATGAATAGAGGAGAAATAAGTGGCAAATATGTTGATCAGAAATCTGGAAGGCCTCTGAATTCTGGCAAAGAGCAGAATGCTTTTATTGCATTGAGCAGAGGAAATCAGATTTTGTTTGTGAATGTCTCCAAGTCTTTAAAGAATTCTCTAAGTATGAGACAGACAGGAACTAAGTTAGAAAAATATCCTTCAACATCTTCTGATTTCATTTCATCTGAAGAGTCCAGTTTTGTTCAAAATATGACAAGCAAAAGCCCTTTAACAATTATCCGGAAGATGGATGGTGCAGAAGAGATCAGCCCTGTGTCAAAAATTTCAGAAGATGAAACTTCTATGAGAGCGTCTGAGAAAATAAAGTTATGTGTCAGGTGGAAGTCCAATACTGGCAAATGTGTGGATGCTTCACCTCTCATTGCAGTATTACTTCTCAATCAGTCATCTGCGACTGTCTACATTGGATCCCATTCTCACAGGATACAAGCAGTTGATCTCTATTCTGGGAAAGTGAAATGGGAACAGATCTTGGGAGATCGCATTGAATCCTCAGCTTGTCTCTCTCATTGTGGAAATTTCATTGTAGTGGGTACGTTTTTGAACTTTGGATTTTTAGAAATGAAACAAAGATTGGCCCTAGGATGCACTCTGCAGTTCCATTTCCCAACAGAGCTTCTAAGGAGCCTCTGAGGTAGCTGTTAATAGCACTTTCTATATTAACATTTAAGGATTCCCTCACAGTTCAGGTCTACCTGTCAGTCCTTGCCCAAGTCAAAAAGCATTTCTATTACTTGAAATGAGTGGTGTCTTCTTCTTTGGCCAGGCAGCTTACCCATCTAGAGGGCTTTGTACCTTCTACAGGTCAGACTTTGAACGAAAGCCAGCTTTTGAAATCTGGCAGGATCTGTTGGGTCTGTATATGTTGCTAGGATTCTGGATGATTTCCAGCATAATGTGGACTAGCTTTGCAAATTAATACAGGGCCTAAAAGCTATGGAACAAAGAGAATTTTAATAAAAATGTAAGACACTGATTGTGTTGTTTCAAATTAAAAATGATTATTACCAGAGGATACATCATTAAATAATAAACCTAGAAATACTAATGAAACATATTTTGATTTTTTTGTGACTTCATTGTCATAGGGAAGGAAGGGAATAAGCAAATGTAGCACCTGTTATGTGCCAAGCACTATGTGAAACCTTTTATAGATATTATCTCATTTGTGGTTTAGGGAACTCCCACTGAGGAAGCTTCTGCTATCAGTGCAAATGGACAGCTGTTCTGCAGTTTATAGTCTTAAAGAGCATCCACAAAGCGCTAAGCAATTAATCCAGTATGTGTCAGAGTTGAACCCAGGTCTTTCCGACTCTGAAGCTCCATCTACATCCATTATCCTGCACAGTTTCTCTAGTAAAAAAAATGTTGCAGAATAATAAGTATGTTTTTTGTAAAACTTATCTTAGACCATTGCTATCAATCTTTTCTTGTTTTTCACAGCTGTGAAGCAGCAGATAGTTTTAAAATGTTTCTTTGAAACTGTTCCTTAGCTCTTGCTATTCTAGTTGTATTTAAATTATAATTTGGATGCTGCTTTATTGGAGAATAATGGAGATTTTTAAAACTAAAAAAACTTTGTTATTGAGATTAGGCATTATCTATTGGGTTTGGGAAGTAATTTTCAATGTACCTTTAGAGAAATTTCTCATTACCTAACTGGGTCCTGGGATCCATCCCTTTACTTTACAACGTGCTTTCTTAGACTTTTTCTCCCACTCATGCCAAATAGAGGTAACAAATCAGATAAAAATTCTAGAACAATAGCTGTGGAAAAGGAGGCAGATAGACTCCACTTGAGAAAGTGGTTGTGGCAATAGTTAAGCTATTTTAGGGATTGATAGGCCTGTGAACCTGACAAGACAGTTGTCGTGAAATAACCTTGACCTCTGATTATCCTAAAACCTTTCCTCCCCTCCACTCCTAGAGAGTCTGGGAACAGTATAAATTTCAGAGACTTTACCTTTTGTAGTAAATAACTTAGCTGTTGGTATCAATAATCAGCAGTACTGAACCCCAGAGTTGCTGAAGCCTGACTTCATTCCTAGTTTAGAAATAGTTGTTGTTTCAAGACTTCTAGCTTTTCTGTAATTTCTAATACAGAAGTGAGAGTCACAATATGTTGTTCTCTAGTATGATTATTCTGACCACTGTTGTCTTGGATTATCAAATCTAATGGGTCTTTCTATAATAAATAACTAATAAGTTGATACTTTATTATTGCATATTATTTATTTTGAGGCTAAGATAAGGGACTGGCAGTTATGATATTTAAATCACATTTTCATATTATTTTATAAATGTTTTGAGTACTACTAGCCTCTTGGTGAATTGATGGGTCCATGAACCATCTTCATTAGAAGGTCAAGGCTGGTGATATACACACACATACACACACATTTTCTAAACTCCAGTCCCACATCCATGCATCTGAATGCTTCATTTGCTTCTGACTCTGCATGTCCAAAATTGAGCATGCAATCTTTCCCCCAAAACCTGCTTTTTTTTTTTCTGATTTCACTGTTAGTGGTGATATCCAGTCTTTGTTCAAAACTTTGACTCTTTGCACTTTCATCGCTTTCATCCCTCTTGCCTCCATTCTTCCTTTTATTTTCCCATTGTTGCCATCATAATATACCCCTTACTACCTCTACCTAGACCACTTCAGGAATCTCCTAATAGGACACTTCCCTTCTTTCCCCAGTTCATACATGCCATCCTTTATACAGCTGTCAAATTTACCTTTTTATGCACAATTCTTGGCCATGGCACTTCTCTATGCAGCACCCTTCAGTGGCTCCTTGGGGCCTACAAAGTAAAGTTCAGGCTTCTCTTTCTGTCTTTAAAGGCCATCTACTGACTGGCACTATTATCTGACTGTTTTCTGTCATACAACTCCTTTGCACATACTCTACCCTGGTCAAACTGCACTGTTCTCCACACCCTACACTTGCCCTACAGCTGCCCACCTCCATGCTCTCACTCACACTGTCTACTCTGCTTCAAATCCTTCCCAATCTTTCATCCCTACCTTTTGAATTCCCACCCATCCTTTAAAGCCAAACTCAGATTCCACCTTCTGCAGAGAACCTTCCTTCCCCTATCCCTCCCAGTTGATAATGACCTTTTTTTCTCTCCCAACCTTACATTGCACTTTGTTCACATCTTCCTGCAGTAGTATTATTAATATTATTCTTGCTGTCCCCCTACTAAAGTGTAAGGTCCATGAAGTCAGGAACTATGTCTCATCTAAACTATTTTTTACTCAACCCAGTGCTCTTCCTAGTACAGATATTTAATCTAGGAGGCTTTGGGGGCTGTGAATTATTTATTTATGGACAAACTTTGTCTACAGTAGGTAGTCTTTTTTCGAGGCTTCAGTCAAAGCTTTCTGAAGTCAGGCAGTTCTCAAAACATAAGGGACTATTGGGTTCTTTCTGCTTTGTATTTGCTAGAAAGGCCTGTATAATATCTGACTAGGTCAGGTGACTGGATCAGCACCAGGAACCCAAGTATACCTACAGAGCTTTGGCTGTGGATTTTCATAGGTTTTGTCTTCCATTCACGTATCTAAATCTTCCATTTGTGTCTTCCTGTTTCCCCAAAGGCTGCTATAATGGTTTAATTTATGTGCTCAGAAACAGTAATGGAAAAATACATTGGATATTTGCTACCAAGGATACCGTTAAAAGCTCTGCAACCATGGATCCATCCACAGGCCTCATATATGTGGGATCTCATGACCATCATGCATATGCTTTGGATATTTATGTAAGAATTCACCCCAGCATTCTCATGCATAACCAATAGAATAGTTCCTTGATAAGGTAGAGGGTGTGAAACCATTAGTGCAGTTGTGTCATGAGAAGAAAGGGAACTAACCTGTGGGTGGTTGTTGCTTATTTACTTGCTATTATTTCCAGAGTTTAATAGGGTGAGAGAAGAAAACAGGGAACTGATCTAAGAAAAATAAGGGATTAATATACTCTTAAAATGTTTACAGAAATTTCAGTCTTCTTTACCAAGTTTTCCACAAATAAATTTGACCCTGCAAACATTGTCATGTGAAGCTCTTAGAAAAATAATCTTGAAGGGATGCATTTGGATCTATTGATCTTCCCCATGGCAAACCTAGTGAGTATATTCTTGTATTTGCAGAAGGAGACCTGTGTTTGGAAGTCACATTGTGAAGGAACTGTCTTTTCTTCACCATGTCTAAGCCTGGCGCCCCATCACTTATATATTGCTACACTGAAAGGAGTTCTATTGGCCTTAAATCCTGTAGGTATAAAATGATCTGGAGTAATTTTATGGCTTGTATTTTAAGAAATTATATTATTTTCATTTTGAAGTCTAAATGTGTAAAGTACTTATCAGATTCCAGACATTACCAGTATAAAATCAACTAAGCTGAGAAAATTTGAAATACAGTGCATTTTTAAAAATTAAAAGTCTGTTTTTATCTTATTTTTTGCAATTGGCATTGATTAGACATACTGTTTCTCCTAGATTGTCCAAGTTAGGATTTCATGTTTGTCTTGAGGGTCTTGGGACCCTCATTATTTCCTAACCTGTTTTCTTTATGTTTTTTTTATCCTTGTGTAGCTCTCGGTTTTATAATAAATGTCAACAGACTAATAATTTACATGCAGCTGTTTCTGTATTCATGGTCAGGCTACATTTATAACTTCAGAGTTGTATGAGATAAAACAGTCAGATAAAAGGGCCAGTTTGTGGATGGCCTTTACCTTGCATCATAAGAATTGGTGTTTTATGATTATGCTTTGTAGGAAGCTGTATTAGTTTGCTTGGTAAAGGGTCTAGCAGAGTTCAGTGCAATAATACTAATTATTGTGATTTTTTGTTATCGTTACTAAACAGACTACTGGAAATAGAGTCTGGACACATTCCTGTGGAAAACCTCTTTTCTCTTCCCCACAATGCAGCTTGCAGTATGTTTTGGTTGGTTGTGTGGATGGGAATTTATACTGCTTTAACCACATGGGGCAACTGGTAAGAAAATTGTTACAGTTTTCCTTTAAGTGTTTTTTAAAGGCATGGTAGATACATGCTGAAATAAAAATCTGGATGATATCATTTAAACCTATAACCATTGTAGTGAGCACTTGGTCTTCATAGAATTCCTCCCCCATTTTAATTGTTTATCTTTACTTCACAGTCATGGCAGGGAGAGAGCTTCCCCTTAACCTTTCCCTCCCCTGTCATTTAACCCTACTTTGCAACAAAGAAAAATAATTAAGCAAAAGCATCTGTTAACAGTGCATCAGATGTTTCTATAACATTCTGCCCTAGTAATCCCCAGTTTGTCTGCTGTAATTGAGGGAGGATAGAGGAGGGTAGGTTTCATCATTGGTTTTTCATCGATTCAAGGTATGGTTTCCCTTTAATGGATTTTTATTTACATTGTTGTTGTGTCTATGTTCTTTTGGGTCTGTTTACTTTCCTCTGCATCAGTTCATTAAAATCTTCCCAACTCTATGAATTAATTGTATTTGTCACTTTCTTCATAGATTTCTGAGTGGTAAATGGTGCTATGGTCGATGCCAAAGACTCCATCAAGAGCTTATTGCACTTATTTTCATTCTCCCTGTCTCTCTAAATTAGTAAAATTAAATATTTCCATTGGGGAATGTTTTATTATAATTTTTTTTGTTTGTGAAATACTCAAGATGTCCCTGACTCCCAGGCATAATGATAAAGTTTTATATGTAAATAGTCTTACCAAGTGCTTTAAATAGAGATCCTGTGAGATTGGGAGGGTAGAATGAAGTGTAGGTAGAGGTCAATGGGGCTTTTAGTCACCTCCCCTTCATAGATAAAACCCTGAGTCTAAGTGACTTACCCAAGATCACATAGTTGTGGACAGAATTGAAGCAGGGAGCTGTATATCCAGACTCTGAACCTATTCATTAGAGTGTACAGTTACTGAAACATTGCTTCAGACTTCTATGTTTGCTTCATTTCCCCAACCACTTAGTCCCCAAAAGTTTATTGTGGGACGTCAGTTAATCAGGGAAAGCCAGAAACAGGTATTTATGTTTCATTAAATGACAATGTGAAGACCTCAAAAACACTCTTAAGGCTGTTTCAGTATATTTAAGTATTATGACATTAGCTTGGGGGATGGTGCATTGGATAGCAATTCCTTAACATACTCTTTGACTAAAATTAATTATTAAGTATGTGACATTTATCTTTAATATTCATTAAAAACTTTTCTGTAGAACTTATGAACATTTAACTTTAAGATTAAATGTAGAGATATAAATAGTTTACTGTAATTTTTATCACCCTATATAGGTTTGGCAGGTCTCTACTAATGGACCAATCTTTTCATCCCCGTGCATTTCTGACTTAATGAAGCACGAAATCTTTTTTGGCTCCCATGATTGCTTTATCTACTGTTATGATATGGAAGGACATTTTCAGTGGAAATTTGAGGCTACTGCAAGTATATACGGAACACCATTTACTTTCCACAATCATAATCTAAGCAGTGAAATGCTGCTAGCAGCAGCATCTACTGATGGAAAACTATGGGTCTTGAATGCTAAAAGAGGACAGTTACAAACAGTACATAAGCTTCCTGGAGAAGTTTTTTCATCTCCTGTGGTCTGGCAATCAATGGTTGTTGTTGGGTGTCGAGATGACTATGTTTATTGTCTGGATTTGTTGGGTGTTACTGAAAAATAACCATCAGATAACCAAAAATAACCATAACATCTTTACTGTTTTTATCAGTACCAAATGGATAGAAACTATGTGTTTTACATGTACAGAGAGCTATGCTTAAGTACTGTCCATATCAAAGCTATTTTGGTTAATAAATGATTTATCTGGGAATGACCATTTTGAACATCCTTTGTTTGACAGGCCATGATTATTGCAGAACCTGTTGAATGAGCTGGTTACACATATCATGCTCACTAATGGTTCTGATAGTCAATGTATGCCGTCAGATATTTCAATTAAAAAGATCTTGGGCCTAGAAATGGAGAATTGAGTGACTTGTACAAAGTCACAAAGATTAGGATAGGAAGTAGAAAGGGAATTAAAACCTTTCATTCCTAGTCTGTGCTATTTTCCTGTGCATTAGATTTGTTTGTCTTTTTGCCCCATTAGTTTGTACACGATAAGTGTTTTTTTAAAAAAAAATTCTTGTTGAATTGGATAAGTATGGCAGCAGGATACTTGATGAGTGCAGTCTCTTTGCTTGCTGTTGCACTATTTGTTTGTTCTTTCTCAGTAAGATTTACAGGACACTTGGGTTTTTGCTGTCAGAGATGTGATCTTTTCATAAGTGAACAAGTTTCCTTTATTAGAAAGTAAAATTACTGGATGATTTCAGTTAGCGTACTCTCTATCATTTTCTCTTTTAGTAACATTTCCTCCCTGAGGACTATGTTAATTTATTCTTCTATGGGCTTTAACTTTTAATTTAACTTAAGTGCTTTCTCACATGTATCTTTTATGTTAACTGTGAGAAAAGTTTAATTACTTTAAAAAATTGCTCAGTTCCTTTTCCTGAAATCTCACAGCATATGATTCAAAGTCATTTACTAACAAAATGCCTATGAATGTAAGCTATAGTAGTGACTCAAGTAATGGTAACAGGATTTCCTACTGATTTTTTTCCTGTCTTCCATCCCTAGATTGAGAATCCACTATTGTGAATAATCTAGTCTGTACACAAATACCCTGTAAAGGTTAGATTTTTGTTGTTATTGTTGTTGTTGTTTTTGTTTGTTTGTTTTTTGTGGCTACCTTACCAAGCTCTTCAATTGGTTTCTGGTCCATGTTAGATGAATTCCAATTTGGAATACAAATTAAATTTCTTTTTACTGCTAAGTGCTTAAACAATTTTTTTCCCCACAGCCAGTGAGAGCTATAATGAAATATTGCCTAAAATGAAAACATTCCAAAATTTTCTAGTCCAACAACTATTATAAGTGGATTTAATGAAATTCCATTTTCAGATAGTGAGAACACTAGATAAAAACTACATTTTGAAATGAGGTCATCTTGCTACTGAAGCACTTACAGATTTTTTTATTCAAAGACCTTCTCCTTCCCTTTCCCCCCAACCATAATGGACGATTTACATAAAACCATATACAACCAAAATCTATAGTTAAAATTACAGTAATGTATCTTCTCATCATCTCTTGACTTGATTTTATTGTTGGTAAAAACATTGCCGGGTACCTGTAGCTTTCTAAAGATTCTGCTTTGAAATAATTAAGTAAAACTAAGAAGAGACACAATTCATACTGTACATTTGCTGATAACTGACTGGATTATAATTTAGTAGGAATTAATGAACATGTATAAGAAACAATTGTACTTGAAAAATTTTAAAAGTAAACAAAAACTCAGTTATACACGTTTTCTAATTTTATACATAATTCTATGAACAAAGGTTAATGATATGTAATCTTGTCAAGAAGAGTATGTAAATGGCTAAAGGTATAAAAAAAAAACCACACACACGCACTCCCGTGTATTCCAACATAGTGGTCATCAGTTTTTTAAACATTTTTACTGACTCTTAATAGATTCATCAGTAACTTAAAAAACAACAATAACAACAACATAATTCTCAGTTGTTGATCAAAAACGACTACAACAAAAGTAAAGCAAAGTAACACTTCGTTGGTATGTAGTGCAAATTTGGAGTGATTTTTACACGAGATGTATACTTTAAAATTGTTCAAAACCAAGTACTGTGAATGACATTAATTTACTCTTATTTTCTTAGACTCTGATTGGAAGTTATTCACCAGATTTTTTTTTTCCTTTTAAAACAGGGTCCATGTAGTTTAGCAATTCTTTATTTTCGTGATTTTTGACAGCTTAACTTTGTCCTAACTTTTCGAAACAGTAGGAACTTCTTGACATTTTTTGTAATGATATGTGCCTCCTTTCCCTTACCAAGCTCTAAGTTTTATGTGATCCAAAGCCTATAGACTGGAAGAAAAAGAACACCACTTCATTGTAGGAATTAGTGTAATTATAGAATTCCAGGGCCCTAAATGGAGATTTTCATCAAGAAACATTACATTAGTGGATAAACCACTGAAATCAACAAATGCATTCATCTACAATTTTTAAACATGGACATCAGGACTAAGAACATGCAGAGAAATAGCAACTGCTTCTTATGTCATGAAACTTTAAATTTAGAATGACTAACCACCTGATGGTCTAATTTGTATGAGAGTAAACCAACTCACAAGAACAAAGCCACTTCATTTTACCAGACATGTGCCAGTTGCCACAACTGAGGAAAGAAGAATGCTGGCTAGTTAGTAAATAACTTTACTTGAGACTGAAGGGTACAATGATCACACATGGCATACTGAGTAAGCATAAAAGAAAGTAATGATGAATGCTAATAACAGTTTTTGTTAGAAGGGGAATCCTGTTTCTGAAGGACCAGAATGTATTTTTTGGAATAAGAATCTACAGGTAAAGGGAATATGGAGGTACCATATATTAAAAATTGTGGCAAAATTTTGACCTTTTTGGTATGCAGTAGATGGGAAAGCAGTTAAAAAAAAACAACCCATTACGTTGGTGACTTTTAGACCACCAAGTTCTTTCTTTGTTTACACATTTAGAAGCAAAAAACAAAGCCTATAAGATGAACCTAAGCCTATAAGATTTTTTAGGTTGCAGGGTGTAAATCTTTGAAATTTATATCCTACTGAGTGGCTCCAAATTTGAATGACTAACTTAGGAAACCTATTTTAGTCTGCATTTCTTGAGCAGATTCCTAAATGTCAGGGCATAAGGTCTTAAACAAGAGATCTAGTCCAATGCCTTTCTTTTACGGATAAGGAAGCCTACTGAAAGCCTAGTGAAGTGACTTGCCCTAGATGGTTGTCAAGGCCAAGATCATTTTTGGATGAGTATAATTAGAACAGCCTTTCTTCTCTATGCCCCAAATTTAAAAGGCTGCTTTGGGTTAATTTTTAAAGGTATTCTGCTTCTGTGGTCCCCTTCCCTATAGGGGACTTAAAACTTTGGAATTTGTGGGAAAATTCATGAAAATAAGATTCAGGCATAAGAATAGGAAGTTTTCTCCAAACTCAAGTCTGGGAGATAAGAAATGAAGTAAAGGAAGAGGCTTTGGAGCTATATCACTCCTAGTTGCTGCCAGATGCGCACTCCACATTTGGAACCTTAGGGAAAGATATCCCTTTCTGTGTGTAACCCTTTTCATCACCTATAGAAAAGTATAGATATCCTCCCAAGCTCTAGCAGTTTTGTATTGATTTTAAAGGGTCATCTAAGAAGTGAAAATAAACATCAAAAAGTGGCCAAACTATATGTTATTATTGGAAGGGGGGGGTAGTGGGAGAGAGAAAGGGAGAGGTAATTGGCCTGGAGCTCTACCTATGTCCCCATGGACAGAGTTTTGTCTTCAGAAATGGGAGGCTCTCGGGGCTTTAAGCCCTGCAATTGTGCAAATGCTTTTTCTTCCTTCTAAATAGTGAATTACATAAACAACAGTTCGGTTTCTAACAGTTATTTTGGATCCTGTAGGACACGCTTCTTTTCCTGCTCAAAGTTCTTCACCCCATGTAAAAAAATAAATAAATAAAAAGGGCAAAGGAGGAGTTGTCAGTAAGCAATACAAATAAGCACAAGTGACTACTTAATAATCTGTGGACAGTCACTCCAGGCCTTTGCTTTCCTTTTGGCCAAGGCCAGCCAGGCTGGTTCTGTTGACACTGGGGCAGCATCTGGTGTGGAGAATCTCTTTGGGACTTCTTTCACCAATGATGCAGGCATAGCAGAATCTGAGATGTCCACTGGGTTTGGAGAGTGTTTTTTTTGGAAACCAAAAAGAAAAGGAAAAGAAAAAGGAAAAAAGAAAAGGAAAAAAAAATCAGTACAATGCAGATAATTGTCCTATATCTTTGTCATCTTATGCCATGGCTGTATAGTAAGTAACCTTTGAAGCTTATTAGGAGTGTGAATGTTGGAAAGATAATTAGAATTAGCCAGAAGGGGAAAATGTTGAACATCTCTTAACATGGGGAAGAACTGAGGAATTGGGAAACAAGGAAACCCTCGCCTTGCATCTGACACATACAGAATTACATGGGTCTCAGTGTAGTGACCTCTAATACTTTTGAATCTAATTTCCAAGAACCAAAATTGTACAGGAAGAAGCTTTGTACACTGCTAAAAAGAAATGGGTCAGTATTGTCATTCTGGTCACTCAACCAGTGAATTCATTAAAAACGAAGTACTCATTTATTATATTTATTTGTACTTATTTTTTGTACTTATTTGTTGAATTGAATTTATTGAATTGAAATATTCAATTCAATTTAAATGATCATTCCAGTAGATAGCAACAGTCTTGTTGACTTAACTCTGTTATTTCCCAGAACTAGGTAGAACAAGGTATGAAACTAGGTTCTGCCTTTGGTACTATCATTAAAGAATTTAACTCTCTCAGGTACATCCAGTATGGTATTTTGTACCTCCTCCATTCTGTTCCTCATTCGTCACATATTGAAAGATTTGTTCCAGATTGCTTTTGCCAGATAACAAGGGAAACCCTTTGCCAACTATGTTTGCCTGAAGAATTGCTTTGGAGAGTGAGTTGAAGATGCAGCAACCAATACTTTCTGAAAGAGCTGAATCTGGTAAGACTGGCCATCTTTCAGGAGAGCTGTATATCAAGTGACCAAGGTTCAGTGTACCACACCAGGCAAAATCAAACACTGAATTTGCAAATTATTTTCCTCTGTAGATTCCTGAGGTCTTTTCAGATACAGGTATTTAATAGGGATGAATGCAAAGTCTTTATACTTGGATTCAAAAAACTGACTTACAAGATGAAAGAAGGTATGGTTAGACAGAAGTCTGAGAAATATGTGGGAGTTTTAATGGACTGCAAACTCAATAAGAGTCAACAGTGTGATGTGACAGAAAAGCTAATTTGTTGATCTTGGGTTGCACTAAAATACCTGCAACTTCTAGGAATAAGGAGGTACTTTGCCCAGGTCAGAACACATCTGGAGTTGCATGTTCAGACATAACATTTTTGAACATGGCCAATGTGGGACTTTTTTTGCGTCACTATGCCTATTTGTTACAAGGTTTTAAATTTGTTTCCATGGTGGCAGACAGAGGCACAGGTAGGGTTATGGTTCAGCCTCTCCTCTCCCCCAAAAGAAAACAGAATGAAGGCCACAGGGAATCATGGACAGACTGGATGCCTTTAATAGTTGCATGTTGAATTTGCTGTATACTTGAAAAGGACAAGCTCTGCACAGTGGAGGATTGCAGTTCTGTAATGTATATGGAAGTGTTTGTTTTGTTTTTAAGTTTTGAACTTTAAAAAATGGGGGAGGGAAAGGGGAGAAAAGATCAGGGTTCATATAACTAGTATTTTTTATTTAAGACAGTCTCTAGTAATAATATCAAAAGATATGTTTTATGGAACAGAATGCCATTCACTTGTCATAACTCCAAAAAGTTAGATCTACTCTAAACATGTGAACATGTTACAGTTCTTATGTGCTGAGTAATGAGTATATACTAAATAATGAGTATATACATTATTCATGGTTGTGCAGCTTCATTTGAAAAAAATTTATTAGACTAGTTCTCTTTGGTCCCACAGGACAGACGTAGGGGCAATAATTAAATTTCAAAAAAGGCAAATTGAAACTTGATGGAAGGAAAAACTTTCTAATAACCAGAAAAGTGCTACAAGGTATTTTGGAAAATAGTGGGTTCCCCCTTTGGAGGTCTTCAAGCAAAGAGTAGATAGCTACTTCTTGTATATGTTGTAGAGAAAATTTTTACAATTACTGATTACAATTACTCCCAACTCTAAAATTTTATGGTTCTGTGATTGCTCAAGTGTTAGTAAGCCAATAGTGGAAACTACTATCATGTTTCACTTATTAAATGCATCAAATCAGAGCAAAATTAACACTTTATCCTATACATAACCCTTACATTAGAGCTTGTCAAAGGAGCAGGCTAGAAGGCAGTTCTGTTTATTAAACCCAGTGAAGCAAGTGAACATTCTGACCTGTCACAGATGTAGGAAGAGTGTTGGATTTCTTCAGTTGCTCTCTGCGCTCTAGCCTGGACACAGCTGTCTCAATCTTCTTCTCATCTTCCTGAGCAGTAGATTTATGGAGGGAACCTATCCTGCTAATATTACTGCTTTCAGGCTGCTGGCTGACTCCAGCCTGAAAGGGAAAGGGAAAAAAAAAAAAAAAAATTCATTCCCAGTGGCCCCTACCCTGGGGGTATAATACAGGAACCTGTTTGGAAGGGCTGGAGAGATGATTTAAAATTTTCAGTATGAGATTTTACACTTCGAATATTAGCTAATGCTACAAATCAAGAAATACTTTATTGTTTTGTTAATTATCTAGACCTGAAAAAGTGATGAAGAAAATGTTTCTAAAGCAGATTAAACTTAAAAGTTTGTACATTTGTGGGTGGGGAAAGAGCCAGCTGTTAAAGATCAGCACAACCCTTCCTCTAGCTACCCCTGCCCCAAGTTTAGATGATTAAGATAAAAATAAGGAATGTAGATTCCTTTTTGGATTTCCTGATATCTCCTTCCCATTGTCATTGAGTTGGTGAAAGATGGGGATTTGATTACATCAATTTCTTTCTCTTTTCTCTAGTACTTTCTTGAACATCTCAGTGCAAGATGACTAAAGTAGGAAAATGCTTTCTTCTAGCTCTTGAATATGATAAACCAGGTGACCGCAGAACGAGGTCCTCAAAAACAACTACTTGCTCTTCTTTTTTCCCCACTTAATAGTATTTCATTTTCCCCCCAATTATATGTAAAGATAGTTTTCAGTGTTCACTTTTATAAGATTTTGAGTTTCACATTTTTTCTCCTTCACTCTCTCCTCTCCCCTCTCCCCAAGATGGCAAGCAATCTGATATAGGCTATATATGTAAAATCATATTAAACATATTTCCACATTAGTCATGTTTTGAAAGAAGAATCAGAACAAAAAGGGAAAACCATGAGAAAGAAAAAAAAAGTGAAAATAGTATGCTTTGATCTGCATTCAGCCTCCATAGTTTGTTCTCTGGATGTGGATAGCATTTTCCATCATTAGTCTTTTTGAATTGTTTTAGATCATTGTATTGCTGAAAACAGCTAAGTCTATCTATCATAGTTGATCATAGCACAATGTTGGGGTCACTGTACAATGTTCTCCTGGTTCTGCCCATTTCACTCAGCATCAGTTCATAGAAGTCTTTCCAAGTTAACCACTTGCTCTTCTAACCCCACTACCCTAAATTAGGATATTTCTTTCTTATGTCCTATTCACTATATAATGATTAAGCAAAATGCTACGCTAGTAAATATATGCCTCCATGGAATCTTACCAAATTAGGTTATTGCCTGTTGAAATCACAGTGATTTCATATGTAAATATTTTTCCTAGTTTAACCTTTAAAATTTAGTTTTTCTGCCCAATATGTTTTTTTTTTCTTTGTTCTACTCAGCTTTCCTTTTTCTTCCTATCCCCCACTGCCCAAGCTGGTCTGAAAAAAGGAAATGGTGAAGTCTTGGAGCTATTGCTTTTGAGTGGATGTTGAGCCTAGCATGTCATGAATCTGGGGATAGCTTTTAGGGGATTCAAGATTGAGGGGCTTTGAGTGCTACACAGGATGTACAAAAATTGAGCTCAATGAAAAGTATAAGGATCTACAATACAATCCAAAAAATGTATTAAATTCTGCTTTGTGCAAGACACCACTCTTTCAGATGGTCTACTTACATTGTTTTTAGATACCCTTTCTGCTTGTTTGGCCTCCCTGGCTTGCTTTCTCTCTTCCCTGGTAGCCTGCTGCTCCCTGAATCCTTTTTGCTTTTGTAGTGCTAATGTAACCCACTGTGGCTGGGCAGTCTCAGTTTTTTCCATCGATTTCGAGCCTTCTAAAGAGTGCCAGCTCTGAAGCACTGGCTTTTCTGTGGAAAAGAAAAAAGCAAAGAAAGATGTGATTTGCAATGAAAGACAACCACTCATCAGTCCCCTCAGAATGCAGAAACAGTGCAGACAGATTCTGAGTCAGTGCTTCAACTTGATCTCACTTCAAGATTTCGTGAAACACCTTTTCTAAGACAAAAAAAGACATCACATCATGATGGAAAAATAACATGAGCTCAAACTACCCTCCCTAAAACTCTAATACTTCAAAGGCTGTGTGATTCCAGCAAGGTGAGTACTCCTTACACCAAGACAAAGGATTCAATCTGCCTGTCTGGGCAGTCTCTTTGAGTTTCGGTGGCCAGTAAAAATCATTGCAAGGTGGCTACTCTGGGGATGAGGCTGTTAATTTAGCTAGGCTGGTCTGCTTCCACAGTGCTGGATCCATACTTGTAACCTTTCCAGCTTGTCAGGTCTGGCCAGAGTTTGTGCTCCCTTAGTAAAGCTTTCTTGAATGCCGGGTCACATTGTACTTCCTAATGAGCCATCAGGGCAGAAAGGTTGTGGAAGATCCTTCCTCTCAAAACAGTCACTGAATAAGTGACTATTCTAGTGACTAGCAGTCCCCATGGGAAATATTTCCCATGTGCAGTACAGATGGAACATTTTAGAATCTTAGAGCTGTGAAAGACCTGAGGAGGATAGCTAGTCTAACTCCCTTATTTTAGAGCTGAGGAGTCTGAGGTCCAGAAAGCTTGAATGATTTGCCCAAAGTTACTAACATAGCTAGATGGTGGTGGGGATGAGACTAGATGCCCGGACTTCTAGTCTCATATACTTTCGATTATACCAGGCTGTCTCTAAAGTGGGAGACAGGCAAGCTGCCAATTCAGGCTTCCATGCTTTCTTTATCTGTATATATCTATATGTGTCTGTGTCACCCTGCTTAGAATGTAAACTCCTTGAGGACAGGCGGCTTTTCTGACCTTGTGCCTAGCACACAGTAGAAACTTAAAAAATGCTTGTAATTGTTTGGTATTAATACGGTAGGAATGTTCACCAAGACACACAATACAGGACATGTAGTCTTTTGTTAATCTGAGGATCCAGCCTGTTGCTATGCTCTAGTTGACAGAAGGGCCACCATGTTTTGACCCACCTAAATAACAGGAAGTTCCAATGTACCCAGTATTGGTTAAATCAGCTTCATTTAGGCAAGAGATGTAAAGCTTTCTTGATTATAATCAATTTAGCAAACCTCACCTAATCCAGGTATGCAAGGTTAGCAAATTTTCCTAATCATAATGCCCTTGTGGTCAAGTGGTTTGGGAGAAGGTGTTGCATTCCAGACCACTAGCAACAACAATCAGATATAAAGGCAGAGACCCAGAGATCTGGGCTCTTGATTGGGGTATGCATTCACTGTATGTCTGAGCTCCTGTTCACTTGTGTGCCTGTGGGATAGGGCTGGGCAGCTTCATGCTTACATGTCTGTGAATAATTAATTACTCAGGTTGTAATCTTTTGAGCAAATTATGTTTCTGCTCAGTATTTCACACATGATCTCTTCACAGTTAAGCAACCTTTGTATTCTTAAGTCTACTGTTTTAGGCTCAGGTTAGAACCACAAAGTTCTCGAGGCTCATCTCTTAATATTTCTAAAACGTACAGATCTCTTTCCTGCTTCAAGCCTACAGAAGATTTTTTGCTATCGAGCTGGCAACGATTGCATATTCCATGGTGGCATGATACTCAATTGACTGGGGAGGCATCCCAGGGACAATTCTATATGTTATTCCAGTAGGAACATCCTCAGTTCTATTGAAATCAAGGTTCAGAAGTCTATTTTCCCCATTTCCATGATTTTTAATATAAAATGCAGGGATTGTTTATAACTTAAAAAATCTTCCTGAGTCAGGCTAATTGAGGAGACTAGTCTTAGCCAATACTACTACTACCACTAATAATAATAATAACAATAATAATGTTAAATGACAAAATCTCAACTTTGGAGTATTTTCACAAGAGGTGCAATTTTAATACTTCATAGTACATATAGTGATTCAAACTGATAGTTAATAAAGCATTTCCAGTTCCCTCTGAACCTTCTTTAATGAATAGATAAGTAATTATATGATTTTAAGGCATGCTAAAGTTGCCTGAACCTGTTTAACTCTCTCAAGAAGGTTTAAATTATCCCTTGTAATGCCACCATAATTTAGTTAGTAAAGCCTTTCCTCATATATTCAGTAAAAGTAAACAAGTTCAACTCAAGTTAAATAATTAAAAATTTCAAATTACTAGAGTACAAACTAACAAAGTTTTATTGTACCTCTATACTATTGGCCATAAGTAATTCAATTTAATTCAACAAATATTTGTCTACCATGATCAAGGCACTGTGCTAAGCACTGGTGATGTAAATATGAAATAAGACATGGTCTCTGGCCACAAAATGTTGACAGTGTAATAGGAAGGAGCGAGGAATAGTACTTGAAGAGTTGGATTTGGAGTCAGGAATACATGTTCAGATCCCATCCCTGGAAATATGAAGAATCTACCAGTAACCTTCTAGAAGAACCTCCAAAATGAAAATTCCAAGGAATGTTATAAATAAAAACCAGAGTTTCCAGGTCAAAGAAAAAATACACAGCAAGCAGTCAGAAAGAATTAAAGTACTGAGGAGACATGATCACACAATTTTAGCAGCTACAACTGTAGCAGTGCTTGGAATATGATATTCTAGGAGGCAAATGATACAGGCTTACATCCAAGAATAACTCACCCAGAAAATTGGGTATAGTCCTACAGGGGTAAAAATAAACTCTTAATGAAATAGAGGACTTCCAAGTATTCTTGATGAAAAGACCAGAGCTGTGTAGAAATTTAGAAGGTCAAAAACAAGAGTCAAGAGAAACATATAGATGAACAACCACAAGAACTTCTAATAAGGATAAACCACTTCCATTTAAATATGGGGAAAAGATGATACATATGTCCCCTCTGAACCCTATCATCATCTGGGTCACACAGGGAATATAATTATAAGTTCTGCGAGCAGTTCTATTAAGTCTCAGTCTTAAAAGAATGGAAAGGGAGGGGAAGAGGCATCCATTATGGGAGGAAAAGGAGAAAAAGGTTTGGGAAAATTATCTTCACATAATCAGGTGCAAAAGTAGACATCTATACAAACAAGAAGAGTAAAGGCTGACCCTTGAACCTCACTCTCCTCTGAATGAGTCAAAGGAGGGAAGAATATATGTGCAGAAAGTTGGTTATAGAAATGCCTTTCAGTCAACAGGCAAACAGCAGGGAAAGGGGACAAGGAGAATGACTGGAGAGAAGGTTAAGAGAGGGATCAATCCTAAGCAAAAACAAGCTCTAAATAAGGATATAACTCTTTTTGTGGTGGCAAAGAATTGGAAACTGAGGGGATGCCTATCACTTAGGAAATGGCTGAACAAGTTACAGCATGTAAAATGGGATGGAATATCATTGTGCTCTAAGACATGATGAAGGGGATGACTTCAGAGAAACCTGGGAAGGCTTATATGAAGTGATGCAGAGTAAAATGGGCCAAACCAGAACAGCTTATACAATGGTAACAATATTGTAAAGACAAACAACTTTGAAAGGTTTAGGAACTCTTATCAGTAAAATGACCGACCATGATTCCGGGGACCTCGCAATGAAACATGCTACTCACTTGATTATAGAGAAGTAAAAGACTTAGTGCTGAACAAGACATTTTTTTTTTGCAGCCAATGCAGAAATTTGTTTTGCTTGACTATACATACTTATACCAAGCATTTTGTTTTTCTTTTTCAAAGAGAGGAGAAAAACCAGATTTTAGATGATTGAAAAACATTAATTTTTTAAAAAAGAGATTACTATGTACCAGGCATTGTGTTAAGTACTGGGGATGGATAAGGAAAAACTGGATTCAAGGAGATTATATTATTTCTTTTGGGTGGAAACAACATGTGTGCATATAAGTAAATACGATATATATGTATATATGTACATATATACATATGTATGTAGATACAAAGCAATTCTGGGGGAGCATTAGCAGCTAGGGGATCAGGAAAGGTTTCAATCAGAAGATGACACAAATTGAGCTTGTTTTAAGGAAGAGAAGGATTCTAAGGGGAGGAAGGAGTATCTGCAGTGTGCAAGGTTTAAAGTACTTTATAAATATCACTATTATTATCAAGTGTATACATATAAAACAAAACTATGAAGCCCCCCAAAATGTGGTAAGTACAAAGAAGACACCTAGTAAATCATTGCTAGCTTGGGAAAATCAGGGAAGACTTCATGGATAAGGCAGCAACTAAAGGGGGCTTTCAAGGAAGAGTATTTTCCTTTCCTAGACTCTAGTCCTTATGAAATCACTGTAAAGAGCAGCAAAGATGCTTTATCTTCCATCTGGACCAAATGCAGGATAAAAACACCCTAACTTAAGGTCTGCTAACTTATTTCAAAAGCAAAATGAACCTAGGTTTAAATCGAGAACAAATGCAGATGAATCTTAACCTTCATCTCTGTTGATGATGCAAAGAAAAGGACAATCCACTTTCTGATACTCTCTCTTTTTGTGTCCTTCTCTCCCTGCTTTTTCTCCGTCTCGGTGATTCTGGAGCATCAAGAGATGCCAATTTGGCCTAGATGACATGAGAATTCTGGGCTTTCCTTTGCCAGTTGTTTCCCCTACCGATGTCCTTCAAAATTTTTTATTTTCATGTTCCTTTGTGAGAGAAAAACAGTCTGAATTGCTGACAGACTTTTGAACCCAGTAGGTTTTTTTCTAACCTCATTCATTCTGATTTTGAATGAGTCACCATTGCATAGAGCAGGATCTACTCTGATTTCTTTTGGACAATGGTACGGATTGGAACTGTGATCAACCAGAGTCCAGCTGCCCAGGCCTGCCAATCACCTGGACTGATTGATTTATTTTGTTGACAGAGGTAGTGCAGGCAGAAGTAGAAGAGAAATGACATTGAGGAAAAATGTGATTGTGCTAGAATGGGAGGTG